GAGTTTGAGCTCGTCGCTCATTTGCTTCCCCGCGAAGATGAGGCGAATCTGCTTGCTGCAGCAGCAGCAGCAGCAGCAGCAGCAGCAGCAGCTAGCTGCCGCCGCGGAGCTGCAGCACCATGTGGATGGTGCAGCCCGGAGCCACTCTGTAGTCGCTGAGTTTGAGCTCGTCGCTCATTTGCTTCCCCGCGAAGATGAGGCGAATCTGCTTGCTGCAGCAGCAGCAGCAGCAGCAGCAGCAGCAGCAGCTAGCTGCCGCCGCGGAGCTGCAGCACCATGTGGATGGTGCAGCCCGGAGCCACTCTGTAGTCGCTGAGTTTGAGCTCGTCGCTCATTTGCTTCCCCGCGAAGATGAGGCGAATCTGCTTGCTGCAGCAGCAGCAGCAGCAGCAGCAGCAGCAGCAGCAGCAGCAGCTAGCTGCCGCCGCGGAGCTGCAGCACCATGTGGATGGTGCAGCCCGGAGCCACTCTGTAGTCGCTGAGTTTGAGCTCGTCGCTCATTTGCTTCCCCGCGAAGATGAGGCGAATCTGCTTGCTGCAGCAGCAGCAGCAGCAGCAGCAGCAGCAGCAGCAGCAGCTAGCTGCCGCCGCGGAGCTGCAGCACCATGTGGATGGTGCAGCCCGGAGCCACTCTGTAGTCGCTGAGTTTGAGCTCGTCGCTCATTTGCTTCCCCGCGAAGATGAGGCGAATCTGCTTGCTGCAGCAGCAGCAGCAGCAGCAGCAGCAGCAGCAGCTAGCTGCCGCCGCGGAGCTGCAGCACCATGTGGATGGTGCAGCCCGGAGCCACTCTGTAGTCGCTGAGTTTGAGCTCGTCGCTCATTTGCTTCCCCGCGAAGATGAGGCGAATCTGCTTGCTGCAGCAGCAGCAGCAGCAGCAGCAGCAGCAGCAGCAGCAGCAGCAGCTAGCTGCCGCCGCGGAGCTGCAGCACCATGTGGATGGTGCAGCCCGGAGCCACTCTGTAGTCGCTGAGTTTGAGCTCGTCGCTCATTTGCTTCCCCGCGAAGATGAGGCGAATCTGCTTGCTGCAGCAGCAGCAGCAGCAGCAGCAGCAGCAGCAGCAGCAGCAGCAGCTAGCTGCCGCCGCGGAGCTGCAGCACCATGTGGATGGTGCAGCCCGGAGCCACTCTGTAGTCGCTGAGTTTGAGCTCGTCGCTCATTTGCTTCCCCGCGAAGATGAGG